TACATAATATTTCAGATTGATACTTGAAATAGGCAGCTGTTTACAAACACACCCAGCAACACAATTTCTGCTTTGCAGACATATGATAGTCTCCCTTAGAATATTGAATATATCTCTAAATTACTAAAGAGCTTGATTTAGGATGATAAGGATCCATTCTTCTAACAAAAGTGTAGCAATAACAGAAGTTTAAGAGCTGCCTTAGTCTGTTTTCTGTTGGTATCACTGAATGCTATAGGCTACAGGATTTAAAAATAATAAAGGTTAATTTAGCTTATAGTTTTGCAAGCTGAGAAGTCCAAGAACATCTTCTGAGGGCCTTTGTGGTGCATTAAGGCATGATGGAGCATCATGTGGTGAGATAAAAAGCTTGCCAGCTTTGATTTCTCTTCCTGTAAAGCCACTAATGCCATCCCAAAGACCATTTCTTGACCTCATCTAATCCTAATTACTTCCCAAAGACTCCACGTCCACTATTACATGTGCATTGGGGGATTAAGTTTCTAATTTATAAACTTTTAGGAAATATATCCAAATCATAGCATTAACTGATTCTAATTATTATTATTTGTTTGTTGCAAATTATTTTTTCCAGACATGCACATGTGACTGCCTGTTCATTTTTATGGTGAGGTTTCTACCTTTTCAATTCTTTTCAACTGTGGAAGCATTTGCCTGAGTTAGTTTGAAATTTAGAATATACTGCTTCAATATTATGTGGCTAGGTCATGAAACTAACCTCTGAATTTTAACTCAGAACTAAATTGTAAACCTAATTATAGCATCTATGGATCACAATGCCTTGGATTGTAATTGGATGTGCCTGCATCACTTACCCCCGGCTAGACACAAGGATGTACACTGTGGGAAGACACCTCCCTAAAGCGTCCACTAGGAAAAGGGGACATAGTCACAGAAGTTGTAACTGTAGAAATAGAATCTGGGTCTTAAAAATGAGGAGTGAGGGGGCTGGGGACATAGCTCAAGCGTACAGTACCTGCTTGGCAAGTGTGAGGTCCTGAATTGGATTCCCAGTACCCATCCCCCCCAAAAATGAATAAATAAAAAGAAGAGTTAAATAAGATCTTTCTTCAGAGATCTGCAGGTTACTTTATTTTTTGTGTGCATTATATAGATGTCTTATCAGTTCTCAGTGTAACCTGTTTTGTGAAATACATTAGGTATTCAGGGTAGCTGCTTTCAGGTTTACTATGCAATATTCTGATTCATGAAAATATCCTATTAAATACAACCAGTCATGTAATTATTGTGCTTAATCTACAACATACTTTAATTAACATTTCACATAATTCTGATTTAATCAATTAGATTTGATTTAGTATCACTTAGCTGTAAATACTTTTTATGATGCAGCAGCCTGAAATGATTGCCGAGAGCTAAGGTAATATACAACTCCCACTAAAACTAACAAATTTTCAGTGCTAAGGAAGGCACATCATGGTTTGAGCTATACTTTTTTTAATTTAAAAAGAAAGTGTAGACCATTCGGTTTCTCTTTATAGTCTATTTAAAAAATCTTTTTGGGAATGCTAGAACTCAAAGAACATGGGACCTTATTTGGAAATAGGGTCATTTCAGACATAATTAGGATTGTGTTCTGCTGGAGTAGGGTGGCGCCTAATCAGCAAGTCCGGTATCCTTATAAGAAACCTGCCACGTGAAAACAGAGATAAAAGACAGAACACTATGTGAAGCCAGGCAAAGGTCAGAGTTATACAGCTGCAAGGCTAAAGATTGCTAGCAAATGGCTGGAAGATAAGAAAAGACAAGGAAGGGTACCTCTCTAGTTTCAGAGGTAGCAAGGCCCTGGTGATACCTTGATTCTGGATTTCTGGACTACAGAACCACAAAGACAGTAAATTTCTGTTAAAGTCACGCAGTTTGGGGAGATTTATTACTTTAGCCCTAAAATATTCCCAAAAACCAATTGAGAATTGAAGCTCAGTTTAACTAGAATCTATAAAATTACTTTTGTAATAGCAGGAGAAAAAAAGTCCTCCTAAAATGTTTTAAAAGTTGTATGTACTACCTATAGGTGAAGTAAATATTTATATATTCTTAAGCAAATATTGACATAAATATAGCACTTGAGCCATAAAATGTATTCAGTGCTACTGAAATGTGAGGGCAATCATTGAAAAGAATTTGCATGAGGGTCATCAGGGCAAAATTTCATCTTCACTGTATATATGCAAAATAAAACATATTCTCTGAAGTTTGTGTATTATTCAGATTCTATATTTTCTTCTGCCCTTATTTTAACTTTGAAAAAATATTCTTAGTAACTATTCTGTGATAGGCAAGGATAAATAAAATAATATAAATTTTAGTTGTTGGTGCTAGCGTGTTAACAGCTCTTATTATACAGCATTTGGTAAGGATTAAATTTAATAACATAATGAAAAATAAATTTTTAGGGTTATCTACACATTCCTTGTTTTTTGTTTCTTGGGTACTCCAGAATTGCTCATTGTTTGGATGTGACGGCGGATCTAACACAGGGAGCTAAGAGAAGGACTATGACAACTCCCAAAGGGAAAAGTTTCCTGGCACCAAAGGGTCTATTAAAGTTCCCTGATGAGACAGCATGTAGTCAGGTTTTTTGTTAAGCAATATCTTTCTATTTTTGGAGGTCTTTATAAGCTTCTACCCTCCTAATTGTTTTGTATACTTAGGGTTTTGCCTATTCTACTAGTAGAAATTACTATAATGCAGACCCCTATCCCTATCTCTGGGTATTTACTCTATGTGGGATTGTTACAGGCAAATGAATTAGAAATATTAATAGGTAGTCAGGTAAGACTGGGCCCTTGAAAAACCAGAGCAGAAGACCCAATACCTTGTAACTGTGGGGGGGAGGCAGACACCTCCCACTTGTGGGCCAGGCCTCAAGACAAAAGATCAAGCAAATACATCTCCATGCTAAGGATTAATATTCTAAATAGCTCTCTATCACCCTGAGGAAGCCAGGAGTTACCATCCCAACCCCCGCAGGAAGAGTCACTGCTCTGTTTGCATGCCTGCTGCTGTGTGACTCACTTCCCCATTTGTTCCTGATTTAATCAATTTTACCTGAGTAATTAATCTTATTGGTTGATCATAGTTCTGTCTCACTTTACGCCCACCTTGAGAGTTCCCATGTTTTCCTCATCTTGGACCCATTTCGTCTTGTGGTTTTACTCTATAAAGTCCCTAGAAAAGACAGTCTTTGGCAACCCACGTGGGACTTCTTGCCTCTCTTAGACAGAAGCTTTCTTTCTCTCAATAAATATATTCTGCTCTTAACCTCCATGTTCCTAAAATTCATTCTTCAATTTTAGAGAACACGAACTTGTACCGGACATATAGTAGATTGGGAGTTTTGTTCCCCGATATCACTTTTGCCTACATTTTACTTTCTCTATTCTTCTGTTATAAATAATATTGTTTTGACTGTGTATTATTATTTATATTTAAGTCACATAGCATAATAGGATTTCATTTCTTCTATTACATAGCTCATTGTTTTCACCAGTTTAAAATACATTTTTTGGTTTGGTTGGTTTTCTTTGTTTTTATTAGGAATTTATCCCCAGGTTCTAAGTAGAAATCACCTCTGAACACATTTAAGTTTTCTATCTGTTTCACAGTTATCTTCACATTCATCTGAAGTCTCTTCCTGCAATTTCTCTTCTTGCTATTCTCTTCCTGCTCTTACAAGTTAGTTGCTCTGTAAGTCTGGCATAAAGTTGTTATCTGGAGTTCTTCCCTTTACTGTTCTCTCAAGATTCTTCTCTGAGCCTAGTTCCTAGATTGAATTCCTCATGTTCTTGGATCCTACATCTTTCTCCTGACTTAACTGTCATTGTGTGGAGCACACTGTCCAGGAGTTTCTTTAGAGAAACTTTTCTGAAAATGCGTATATACGAGCTTCATATTTCATTGACAATTTTGCTGTATATAGTTCTTTTTCCTTAAACCCGTGAGGCATTTCCCCATTGTCTTTAAGTGTTAGTGATGCTGTTGAAAAGTTTCACACTGCTCGTGTCCTCATTCCTTCGTCCAGAGGTCTTTTTTCCCCTCTGGAAGTTTTTAGGCTCATCTCTTTATCCTGGTGTTCATGATATGTATTGGTTAGGCAAATCCTGTAAGAGGATTTTATTTGCTTCTACAAATGCTTGGGGGCATTACCATTCTGGGATTAACCTGAATTAAATTCTTGGTCAGTGGGTGGCTAGTGGTGTACCAGACCAGTTAAGTAGACTGAATTTGGGCCATAAGCCTGTGTGAGGGCTAACTCACAGTTCTAAACCCTCAGTGGTAATTTCCCTCTGTTCCACTCTCAGAATGGTCAGTTTCCTAGTGGCCCACTAGGAAAGTAGTATGAAGATTTATTACTAATTAACCCTCACATTGTAGGTACAACTCTCAGGAATCTCAGAGCTCATTGGCATGTGAATTTTCTCATTAACATATTAGACTTTCCTACATGGAATAGCCCTGGGCTTTGTTCTTGGCCCCATCCCTCAAACTGCTGTGAAAAGCAAGTCTGTACTCAAAATGCTTTGACAGGATTAATAAACTGATTCAGGATTAATAGTGAACCACTTATTTTTCTAGGTTGCTGTTGTCACTCAATTCCTGGGCTGAAATCTCCATATTTTTTTGTTTGATGATTTTAAGATGATTAAAAGAATAATAGCTTGTCTAGAAATGTTAATTATTTCCAGGAGTACAGATATCTATCCTGTCATCTTCCTGGGAGTGGAAGTTTGTGTAAACTTTCTAAGCCTCAGTTTCCTCATTTGAAATATGTGTTATGAAGAATAAGTGACATTATTAGTGTAAAGCTTCTAATTCTGTGCCTGGCACTTCAATATTTACCTTTTTTTTTTTTTTTAAAGTGGAGCTCAGAATCTAAACATAAGTTGCTCTATTTTGCTGTATTTGTATAGGCATCCACTAATTCTAGGGGATGAAGATCTGAATAATCTGAGGTGTTGAAAAATTGCATGTTTATTATGTTAGAAAATATAGCTGGTGCTTTTCATTTCAAAAATTTCCATTTACAGTGAGAACCAAGTAATTAAACATTACTAGTAGCTTAGATTTTATTTGAGGGCGTGAAGTTTACTGAATGGAAATCCTCAACTAATCTACTTTTCTTGAGACAAAGAAATCTGAAAGCATTCCTTCCCCCATAATTAACTAAGAATTCTAAAAGGATATATAATACATGCCTTTTCTTATAACCAAATAGCTTATGCTTGAAGTTTTACTGTTTTCTGTCATTGGAAAGTACGTGAAATGATCTTTTTAAACTCCATAGATATATTTACTCTTAAGTAGTTGCCTTTCTCTTTAAAATCAACTTCCACCGGGTGCTGTGCAACCTTTGGTCAGAATCAGCTGTCTCTCTGGGTGCTGACCTGATTCAGGGGCATTTCTTTAGCAGGTGCATCGTGATATTCTTCACAGCCAGCATGGTCTCTGTGCAGGTGGGTCTGATGAGCATCTCTGGGAGTAAAAATCCAAAATGCCCAGTGTCACGTAGTTCAAAAGCAAATGCATAGGGTATTCCATTTTTGTAAGCCCAATCCATTGAGCTACCAGAGCTTACATCTAAAAGTAAAAATAAATAAATAAAAAAAAATTAGAAATAGCTTCACTGCAGAGTTTGCATAATTTCCAAAATATGCATATGTATTTCTTGCTTACTAAACTCTATTTAATCCTTCCAGGGAAATAACATTTCAATAAGTATAATGCAGTTCTTTGGCATGTGGCTCATGGAATTTATGTCACACTTGCCATCATCTTTGAAGATCTAGTCTATGTATTAATGCTTTGTTTGTATGATGACATTAAAACTTCTTAACCTCAAGTCCAACAATATTTATCCTCGCATTTACTTTATTTACCTAACAACAACTTATATTGGTGCTTTTAAAAACATTTTTTCTAATTATCATTCAAGTTTTCTCTACTTCAAAGGTCCAGAATATTGAAATTTTGTTTCCAGAAAAACCACATCATTGTTTCTACCTCTTCAATTTTTTTATTCCTGCCTTTACTGTTCTTTGCCTTTTCATAAACTTGCAGTTTCCAGGTTCCTGCTTACCCCTTGTGGTTTTATTTTATTTTCCATTTGGCCATGGTCAGCTATTTCTCTAATTTTTCACTGGGCTCCCAACATGTCTTCTCCCTGATCTTTTTCTGCCTTTGTATTGCTATTCTTTGACCTTTGTCTGATTTCTCTGGTTTCAGTCCAGTTAGAGAAAGTCTTTGTGAATAGATATCTCATAAATCTGCACTGTTTAATCTTTTTCTGCTCTCAATACTGCTCTGTGCTCCTTCTTATAATCCTGCACTTAGTGAACCTTTTGTATTCTCCTCTTGTTCTTCCCCTCATTCTACCACTGTCCCCCGTATTCAGCCCATCAGCCCCTTCATGAACATCAGAGCTCCATGCATTTTTTCCTTCTAGTTCAGACACGCTGCTTATATTTTCTTATGTCACCTCTTGGTACCATTTCTTATTGACTTCTCTGTAACCTGAGGGTCCCTTTTCAAGGACTTTGATTCTTTCATGAGTCTCCTTTTGCATCTGTATCTGTTCACTCTTTTTCATGATCCTGCCATATATCTTTGGTTCCAATTTCTTTGGCTTATTTTTTTTGATAACTAAGAAGAGAATCTGTATGTAATTTAGCCTGATTTAAATAATTTTCAGTTTGGTTCTTGCTTCTATGTGTCTTTTAAACTTTGTTCTTAAAGGTAACCAGTGACCAAAGGCCTATCTCATTTTTTGGTTTTTGTTTGTATGTTTGCTTGTTCTGTTTCCCCTTCAGATCCTACTTGATAGTCCATTCTAGAAACTCTTTCTTGGCTCCTCTGACCTCAGATGGTCCAGCTTTTTAGCATAGAACTTTCAAGGTCACTAACTATAGACTAGACTATATATGATCTCACCAACTACTGCGTAACTTCTCTGTGCCTCACACTCTCTTTTTGGATAAGCAAGTGATCCTAATACTTGTTGCATATGGCAGTGAAAATTAAGTGAAAGATAAACCACTTTATTAGGTTATATTTTCTATTTTTTTTTTACTTTGCATCTTTCTACCCCCAAGTACCTAGTATGTAGTTTTTAGTATAGCAGGATTTATTTAAATGAATATGTTTCATAGAAAAATCTTGGTATACTTTTTCTGTGAAATTTATATTATCCAGTTTGATACAAGATTATTAAATTTCTAGAGCATGTTTATTTACTCACACATGATTTCTTTTTATGCTGTTTTTCTAGAACAAGTTAGGATAGACTCATTATGTAAAGCTGACAACTAAATTACTCTGCTTTTTCTCAGATTCCTTTTGCTTCAGTTAGATAGGCTGTGGATTCTCTGTCAGTTTGGTTAGAATACACTGGAATTACAAATAGTAGTCATAGTAGTCAGAGTCAGAGATAATATGTGCCAACAGTTACATCATAGTGATACAACAGCTTCATTTCTATGGTAACAGATTGTTCTTAGTAAATATAACACTATGACTGTGGCATTATAGCAAGCTGAAAAGATGAACTCTAAGATTTATAAAAATCAGGATTTTAAAATTGTGAGTTTATGATTATGTTGTACCAGTTGGTAGTATAATTTTTTAAAAATACAATTTTTCTACTTTTATGATGACTATTGAAGAACAGTTCTATAAAATCAACATGAGGTTAATGATCATGGACTTAGGAAAAAACATTTATTGATGATTGTGTTACTTTCATTATTAGGATAAATTTATCTGACTAGAAACATTAATTGACACACTAAACTTTTGTTCTGAAAGCTGAAGAAAGTGAAGGGTAAGATACAAGTAGATAAAAGAAATCAAGGAAAAATGTTCTATGTTATTGAGAAGCATAATCAGATGCCGTTACCTATGCTTACACACACAGCCTGTGTGCTTCCATCATATTGTTACAGAGCCATTCAGGTATGTAAGACTTCTCATTAGATTTTGCCAGTTATGTAGTCAGTAAATTTTAGAATTTGAAAGGGTTTGAGAAATAGTTTAATCCAATTCCTCATGTTATAGTTGTGGGACCTGAAGCTCCAAATTAATAAATATGTTGGCTAGGATGACACACCTGGCAGATTTTGGATGAGAACACACATTTTGTGGTTCTGTGTCCAAGTTCTCTCTGTATCACCAGTTGGTTTTTATTTCACATAAAAGAACAAATACTTTTGCATCCCTTTTGCATAAAGGGAGAAATCAGATGAAGGCTCATGTAAGAAATAGCTTTTTAGAAGAATAGTGGAGGAAAAGAATAAGAGGGAAGCTGTTGTAGAGTTAAAACATTCAATTCATTGTCTTTCTCAAGGCCTATTTCTACCCTTATCGTAGTTGCAATTACTTAAGGAACCCATTTTGATTTCTACTGTCATAAGTTTTAAGTTCAACTTGTAGTCAGTATCTCATACTTAGCATAGTCTCTACTTAGAATTTGTTAAATTGAGATAGCAATTCGCCAGGCTATGTAAAACTAACTAGACACTGTTTTCATCTTCCTTGGCACAAATTTCATACTAGGAAGAACACACTCTCCTTTTTGAGAGGGAAGTCATGATACAGGACAGTGATTCAAGAGAGATGATTCTAATACAATGTATACAGGAAACTTACACAGTGTTCTGGAGGCAGGTCCGTATCTGTACCTTATTCCATGTACCGACCGAAGTGCTTTCACAGCTTTGTAAGCTGCAGATTCCTTGAGGGGAAAATGGATAAACTATATCACTTGTATTGTTGCATTGAAATTTGCCCTATTGGTCATCAACCCACAGAACAATGGGCACATTAGTTAACAGCTCTAAATATTACTACTACTATTACTACTACTGATGATGATGATTATAATGGAGTACTGATGTCACAAAACACTTTGCAACATATTTTAGAACACATCATTTCATTTGAATGATCATCACAGCAACCAGTGATCAGAATATTTCTTTTTTACAGATGAGAAAGGAAGGCTTGTGAGGTTAAACAACAAAGAATAGTTGAGCTGGGACAAGTATCCACATTTTCTGAGGCTGATGTAGTGCTCTGTCTACTTTAGTTTGGAGATACCTGTTCCTATATATGATAAAATGTCTAATGGATCAAGGACAACTTCAGTCTCCCTCACAGTTCACTCAATTAACAATGTGGCTGTGTATAAAAGATGCTAAATCAATATTACTTATATGAATGTTGCATAAGCATAAGTCTGCAAGGGTATTCTGACAATCGTATTGATCTTTAAGTATTTTTCATGGACATGTACAAGGTATTTAAAACACATTTGGATCAATTAAGAAACCAACAAGAATGAATGTCTTCTATTATGCTATATGTTTATCCCTAATGGAAATGAGAACATCAATTTCAGGACACTCCATGACTCTATAAAGTTTTATATGCCTCGCATAGAGCTTAGTTAGATCCTGCCAAGATGCAGAAATTCTAAAGGTAGAACCCTTCCTGTCAGTGCCAGAAATCAGGAAAAATAGTCAATACAATCAAGTTTCTAAAAGGTTGATATTTTAACATGAACTTGGATGTTGGTTGCCCTTTAAAACATTTACAAATGATGTAAAAGCATTAGTTTCAAAAGTAGAAAAGTATCATATGACAAGTTAGAGGAAAGAACTATAATGAAATCAGTATACAATTCTCCCATTTCAGTTCTCCTATGAATAATTTAAGACTTTAATTGAAGCACTCTGGACAACATGGTGGTGTATGCTGAACTGAGCTTCAAGTTGCTGTTCTCAGTGAGCTCAGGGAAGGATAAGGCAGTATTAGCAACAAATGCCATCCTTTGTGGATATTCAGGGACCAGTTTTCAAGAGCTGGCAGGCTATTGCATTATTGATCTCACTGATGATGACATTCTTCTCACAGGAGCCAACAGAAAAGAAATGTAAACAACATAATGAGCTATCTTTATGGGGGAATGTTTGAAGATTTAACAAATCCAATTGTCTTAGCAGTATTGCATGGCACAGGCAGATATTTCTATATTTAGAATATTACTGCATTCTGTTGGTCAGGAGACTTTAGTTTTTTATTATTTCAGATGACTAATGGAAAAAACTTATTAAGAATTTAAAGAGGGGGCCTCTTTGCCTATTTAAATAAAGCATATGCATAGTTTTAACCTTGTGAAGTCTTTATATTTTTTACACTTGAATACAGGTGCATACCAATAAGGGGTTTAGATGTGATCTGGCTATAAAATAGTGGGCATTTTATAACTTTTCCCAAGGCTTAGTTTTCAAGGTGGCTAGTTAGACCCCCATTTGAAATATCTAAATGAATCATCCTTTCTGGAGTGTTTCCTCTTTTCAATCGTTCAAAAGGACTCTGACCCCACTTATTGGTTCTTAGAAAATTAAGGCATCATGGTACCACTGGTATTCATTCGGTAAAGAATGCTGATCATACTTTTATCTAGATATTGCCATATGGAGAGCAATTTAATAAATAATCTTAAAATGTTAACAGAAATATGTACTTTTCCACACAGATGAAAGATTTTTGAAACAACTTTAATTTAATTTTATAGTTTCTGGCTAACATTCAAAGATCACATAGATTTTGAGAATTTGTAATCTTAGTGATTTAGTTTATGCTTAACCCACTTAAGAATTTCTCAACATTGACACTACTGACTTTTAGACTGAATAGTTCTTTGCTATGTGGGCTGTCCTTTGCATTGTAGGATGTCCAGCAATATGCTTTGCCCCTACCCACCAGATGCCAATTAACAACTGTGACAATCAAATCTATCATAGCTGGGTGTGGTGGTGCATGCCTGCAATCTGAACTCTCTGGGAGGTTGAGGCAGGGGAATTGTAAGTTTGAGCACAGTTCAAGCACAGTCTGGGTAACTCAGCAATTTATAAAGACCATGTCTCATGATAAGAAAGAGGGTCTGTTGTGGATAAAGCTCAGTGCAAAGGACCTGGGTTTAATCACCAGCATATTCAATAAACAAAACAAAATAACTACCAAAGCCAACCAACCACCAACCAAACAAACCTAAACAAAACTCCAGATATTGAGAGGTCAATCTCTCCTTGGTTGTAAAACCTTTATCTACTTTTATGCCCATAGCTTTCAAATCAAAACAAATGAAAATAGGCAGAACTCATGGTTACAAGGTAAATTTAAAATATGGAGAACATTCTAATATGATAATTTTAATGTATAGCTTATTTCTCATGATCTGCTATAAGAATGTGAACAGATACTATGTCTAAGTGGGCTGAATGGTTATCTATAGAAAAATGAGGGGTTGAAGGGTTATAATAGCAGCAGCAGCAGCAGCAGCAGCACCAGCAGCAGCAGCAAACAAAAGAAAGCCTATTTGATCCACAAGAAACTAAAGCTCAGCAATATAAAATATAACTATCATCTTTATAACTTTTTTAAAGAAAGAATTTGCTCAAAAATCTTGGAATTCCAAGAAAAAAAGCTCCCTCTGGACAGAATACAAGTCTTTTCCAGGTTTTCTTATGGCCTCCTCATGCTCCCTATTCCTTCCAGGACTTGACATTTAGATCAGGAATTCCTGCAACCACAAAGCAGTTGGTACAGGATCTGGGTTCATGAAGGAAAAAGTTTTATAAAACTTTTTATTCTAGTATAATAAAAAATAAGTAGTCAGCCTTTGTTCCTGATTCCTCATACACAGTTCCTAAAACTCTAGGAACCTCCACAGTGTCTTCTGTATGCAAATAAGCTGCTTGTGGTTGGGTACACCAGAAAGATCTTGGATGGGTCCTAGTTATCAGAAAGACCAAGCCATGTGATCCAGTGGTTGGAAATTTCAGGCCTATTCTTTAGCTTCTAAGGAGGGGCCAGATATTGAGTTTATCACCAAGGGCCAATGATTAAGTCAACTTTTCCAATATAATGAAACTTCCATAAAAATTCTCTAAAAATGGGGTTTGGAGATCTTCTGGGTTGGTGAACATATCAAAATGCTGGGAGGATGATTTAATTGGAGAAGGCACAGAAGCTGTGTGGTCTCTGGCCTTTTCCCTGTACCTGAAATGTGTGCTTTATAGTAAACTGGCAACAGTAAAGTATTTCCTCATGCTCTGTGAGTTGTAGTAAATTATTGAAACTGAAGAGAGGGTGATTGGAACATAGGAGTTCTTGATGGTAGTTAATGGTCAAATAGGAGAGCATTGGAGGACTGAGATCTTAACAATGGAATCAGTCACTAGGTAGACACCCAGATGATATCTGAGAAGTAACATTGGAAAAGAAACCATGCATTTGGTGTCAGAAGTTAGAAAGAAACCTTCAAACATACATACAGAAAAGTACAAAAATTTTAAATTTACACCTCAATAAATGTTTGCAAATTGCATGCATTCCTGTAACTATTATCCAGGTTAAGGAATAGAACAGCAGCAACTCAGAACCCCTTTGTTCCTTCTTTCAATCAGTGCCTTCCTTCCTTTTTCCTAAAGGTAATTGCTATCCTGACTGCTAACACTATTTATTAGTTTACTTTGGTTTTGAACGTCATAGGCCTTTTGATACTACCAGTTCTGAAGCGAACTCACTTTACAATGAATTATACACTGTAGGAGACAGTTTATTGGGTTTTTGTGATAAGAAAAAAAAAAAACCTCTGCTTTTTCATTTTCAAATAATCTTATGACTGAAAGTCTGTTCATTCTTAGTACTAATTTCTCAGGTGCATGTCCAGAGACTTAGTAGTATTAAGCAAATTGAACTATATATTAAAGCTTGCTTTTTAATTAAAGAGAGTGACACTATAATTTATGAGCAATTATTGACTCAATAAAGTTAATTACAGCCTGGCACATGTGACCAAAGCTGCAATATTAATCAAATCCATTCTGATCTTTTCATATAACCTGTGGTAGGAATGCAAATAGTTTTGAAATGACTGCATTTAAAAAGCAGTATGGTGGTTAAAAATAACTCTGGAGCTAGAGTTATGACTAAATCCTTAACACTTAGTAGCTGTGCATTCTTAGTCTAATTATTATATCTCTCAGCCTCAGTTTTCTCATTTGTAAACTGGGGATAAATTATGTAGACTAAAGTAGTACATATATGCAAAGTTATGAAGAATAAATGAGTTAAAATATATAAAAATTATGAACAATAAAGAGTACGTGAAAGGTATAAAGGACAAATGTTATATATGTATATAAGTCATTTGAATAAACATGTTTGCTATTATTAGTAGTACTTACAACCACATTAACATTGGAAAGGAAGCATGAAATCAAAGGATCAAATACTTACTACACAGCTAAAGTTGGGGATCGTAGCATATTTATAAGAATAGGGATACAACAACATCTGAGCATATGCATGAAAGGAGAGGTATGCCTTGATGTACTTTCTATGTTTTCGTAGGAAGTTAGCTACAGCCTTGACTTCTGGTTCAGATTCTGGGAATGGGCCACAATAGGTGTCATCACATGGGTGTATAGAGGCACCTTCATCTGCAAATCAGAAAAGGGTTTGGGTTGGAGAGCAGGTAGGGAAGATGCAAGAAACCTGAATTAGCGTTGTTAAACTATGTTTTTTTAAAAATAAATTTTGTAAAAATTTGACATGAGAAATAATTTCTGAACATTCTGAAAATATTCTAGCCCCCATGTACAATTAAGGATCTGAGAAGAAACAGGTACTGATTGTTTAAACCTGCAATAATCATTCTAAAGAAATGTCTCTTTCACCTGTCAGTTCTTTTGCTGGAAAACTACATAATCCCTGAAAGTGGTTTAGGTCTGCCTCCCATTTATATGCTCCACAACTCCTGTACTTTCTTTTTGTAACATTCAACATGGTTTTAATTAGTGTTCAATATTTACCCTTTTACCATTCAATCAATGTTTACACTATTCTAGGTGCCTGGGAGACTCTGAGCTTGTGTCTTTATATAACCGACATTCTATCTGGATTGTTTGTTGAACTGTAATGCTCTGTGAAGGAAGGCATTGTGTCTTTCTTGATGTTTACCTAACAACCAGAAATACAGTATGGCAAATATCCTACAAATGTTTGTCAAATAAGTCAATGTCAGATAAAGAGAAAAGGCTATACTTCTATAAAAGTATCTGATAAGATATAAATATTGACATACTAAGAACATAAGGGCAGCCAGAAATAATTTTGTAGAACCCTGCCTAACAAATTTCTGGTACAGTATTCTTAAAAAACTTAATCAAACAGATTTTATTCAGTTATTTTAGGATGAAGAAAGCAAATGATATAAAAATAAACCAAAAGAAATGGTCTCATATTACCACCTCAAACCACTTTCAATATTTTACAAATTCTCATACTGTAATTATGAAGCTTTAATACTCTTTAAAAATTTTGCTGAAATAAATGCAACATTAACATACATATTTTTTCTGTACAATTTTAAAATTTGAATTACTGAATTACATACTAATTTTATGGTGTTAGTCACATGCATTTTATTTATAGACTTTTAATGAGATTATTGCCAATATATAAATTATTTTAACTTTATTTTTATATGAAGTCAGTGTCTGTCATGCAGACATCAAAAACATTACAGTAAATTACACAGGTTTAAAGTCTAATTTAGACTTATTAGAATCAGCCACTTTTTTGACTGCTTTCATAAATCTTCCTGAATTACAAAATCATGAACAGCACAAAATGCAAACATACCTGCATCAGTACAAACATTTCTCAAGTCTGCTCCATTAAAGCCATCTGAAAGCCTCACAATTGCTTCATAATCTATTTCATTATGCTTTATAATGGGACCTGCATGGATTTTCAATATATCTAATTTTCCTTGTTCATTTGGTAAATCAATATGTATTTTTAAAATCTAATCTTCCTGGCTGCAGCAATGCAGGATCCAGTGTTTCTGGTCTGCTTGTAGCCATGGTCATTTTAACTCTATGCAAAGTATCAAATACATCCATCTGATTCAGTAACTCCATTAAAGTTCTGTGAATTTTTTTTGTCAGCTGAAGTACCCTCAGAAATCCGATGACTACCAATAGTATCTACTTCATCCATAAAAATGATGTATGGCTGATGATCCCTTGCAAAAGTAAACATTTCTTAAATGAGCACTCTTACCAATGTACTTGTCTAGAATAGAACTAGATACAGGATTTAAGAAATTGCAGCCCAGCTGGTGAGCAATGGCTCATGCCAAGAGTGTTTTTCCTGCGCCTTGTGGTCCATATACAAACAGCCTTTTGGAGGTATTACTCCTCTACATGCTGGAATAATTCTGGGTTTGTGAGAAGCAATTCTATTTTGTCTCTTAATTCCTGAATCTGTTCTAACTGCCTTCCAGTCTCAGAATAAAAAACATTCCCAGGGTCCTTATGAAACATCTTGTAAACCAACAGATCCACTACTCTTGGCAAATACGTCCTGATAGTGCAGTTATATCCAAAGCAACTCTCATTCCTGGCTTCAGCTTCTTTTGTCAAGCTTTCAACTCTTGGCATATCTTGGTCCACTTGTAGCTTCTACAGTGAATTTTTCTTTCAGTTAATTGTTTAAGTACTTCACCTGCAATGTGCCCAACACTGTAGGACCTTTGGATCATTTTCAGACTTTTCATACTGCTTGTTAAATTCTTTTAGTTGTTCCCTTAGCTCCTTCAGATGACTATCAGTCTCCTTGTGCTCTCGCAGCTTTTTGCAGTGTCCTAAGTGTCTTATCTCTAGGGCCCACCATGATTATCTGTAGGATCCACCATGATGAGAAGCCTATTATAGTATTGTTACAACAATATCCAAACTGGTTTATAAAAACTTCAGTTATATCTTTTGGCAGTTAAAATTCAATTTTAAAGTATCTTCAAAACTAAATTTTAATAAGTTTTGAATAAAAAGGGCACATCAAACTGGGTAAATTTATTAAGAAGCCGTAGTAGGAAAGGAAGAATAAATGAAATCACTATAATAATCACAGAGTATTACCATTGTAAGAAATTTTGGAAGTAATTAAAATTTCCACAGTTTTTTGCCATTTAGGCTGTCACTATCCTTCACCAATCTCTAGAAAATAATAAACTGTATTCATAAGCTAATGGAAAATATTAGGTGATACTATAACAGTTCAGTTTTACTGAATATGAAAAGATAATCAAGACGATCGGGCTAAATTTTGAGGACATTAAATGTAGATCATGTGATTGGGAAACGCAGTTGGAGTTCTCCTTTGAATCTCATTCTGGAGATCCTCCGGAAGCAAGTGGAATATGAATGGAATGCAGAACAGTGTTAGAACTATAGCTGATACTCTGAAGGAAATGGGAAAAATAAAGAGGGAAGTGTGGAACACTAATGTTAAGCACTGGAAAGATGAAAACATAAACTGAACAACTAATTCCAGAGGGCGCAGAACTAATGAGCCAGAGAACCCAAGACTTTACAATAATGCTAATAAATATTCTCAAGGGCAGATGAAACACTACAAACAAACAGGGGCATGAAGTTATACATAAAATACTAATCAGATATAGAAATAAAAAGCTTAACTCATAGATTGAATAAATATAATTGATGAGAGAATTAATGAGATGAAGTGGGCTTTAAAATATCCACAGAAGGTAACAAAAATAAAGATAAAAATGAGAGAAAAATTAAAGAGCATTAAAATTAAGTATCAATACATGATTAATAGGGGTTTAGAAGGAAAGAAAAAAAGTAAAATATTTGAAGAACTACTAATTAAAATTTCTCCGCAGTGAAGGAAAGTTTGAACAGATTCATTGTGTACCTAATAAAAGAGCTAAAGGGGAAAATACCAACACATTGACATAGTAAAGTGAAATTTAAGAAAATAATTCTAAGGAGAAAAAAGCAAACTGTTTAGAAAGCACAAGAATCGATTCACATTTGATTTTTCAATAGCAACATAAGAATAATAGTTTCAAAGTATTTTTTAAAATGAAAGATGGAGAGCCCTGGATATAGCTCAGTGTCCCAAGTGCCTGCCTGGCAAGTGCAAGTACAAAGTCCTGAATTCAATTCCCAGTACAAAAGAAAAAAAAAAAAAAAAAAAAAAAAAAAAAAAAAAAAGAAAATTAAGGCATTTAATCCCAGATACTTAAGGCAGAAGGATTTCAAGTTTGATGCAAGCCTAGTCAATTTAGAGAGATCCTGTTTCAAAATAAAAATAAAAATTGCTGGATGGCATAGATCCATGGTAAGTTTGATTATCAGTACCAAACAAACAAACAAAAAACAGGTGGTTTAGCTCAGCGGCAGTGTAAGTACCTGCTTGGCAAACACGCAGTCTTGAGTTTGATCCCTGGTACCAAAAACAAAAACAAACAAAAAATACCCAATTGATTTTTACATACAGCTGAACTCTCACTGAAAAGCGAAGGTAAAATAAAGATGTTTTCTGGTATAAAAAACCTCAAAAGGTAAAGTAAACATTAAAATACTTTGAGAATATCTCTGGAGAAAATATTCTACCGTATGATAACTCCAGAGACATTACTTGCTATGAAAATTACAGGAGAGAAAGAAACTTAGTGCGGCCTGCTGTTTAAATAAAGAATGTCCAAAAGGGAAAACATATAAAGATCAAGGTGATGTGTACATATACACAAGTATTATTCAGCTAAAAAGAAGAATGAAATCCTGTCTCTTGCAAAAAATGGAAGGATCCAAAGCACATAATGTTGAGTAAAATAAGCCAGACATAGAAAACAACAATTCATACTTTCTCATGTGGATATTAAAAAAGGTGACCTGATGTAAAGTGATGATTACTACAGGAGAAGGGGAGAGGAGGAGACATAAAAGGCTGGATGAATCAGAGCACATTGTGTGTGTCTTGAAATAATGTATTGAACTCCATTCATATGCACAGTGAGTCTGTTAGCTAAAAACTTAAAAAACTGAGTAAGAATAAAACAATTTAAAAAAGGAATCCCAGGAAAACAGCAAAATAATGGAAAGACAGAAGACCAGAGGGTATAAAAGCATACTAAGTTACTGGACTCTTTGGGAAAAAAAAGATGAAAATACTGACTAAATTTAGAGAGTGATGAAGGAAAACAAATCTAAATATAGATCTTAAGTTAGGAATTATTTAGAAGGAGAAATAGAACACAAACTTCACAACCAATAGAAGTAACTTTGACCATCCAATTGGAAGTGGAAAAGAGAAAAAAGGAAGATAGAAAAACTAGAAAATAGAGAACAGGAATTAAGATAACAAATCTTAATGTATCAATAACTCAAAGAATGCTAATGAGTTAAATTCACTAGTGAAATGACTGATATTTTCATGTTAAAAAAAGAAATAGCGCTACCAAAAATAAGGTGAAGCAAATAAATTGCTTCTCTGCTTTTACTATTGCAGCAGACATAGTGTTTAAATTTTCTAGGACTGCCATAACAGATTGCCACAAACTAGGTAGATTAAAACAAAAATTTACTTACTTACAGTTCTTGGACTAGAAGTCTGTAATCAAGGC